AGTGGCTTAAACTCAAGTTTGGGTGGAGACTCGAGAAAAGGAATTTGAGGAGTGTTAGAAAGAGGTGGACGAGGCTTAGTTCTAGACTTCCATGAAGGAAAATCTATGGTAGGAGTTTCATTGAGCAAAGAATTTACCTCAGAGACTGAAGACTCGATATTGATGTTCTCAGAATTGAAGTGAGCTAGGAAAGCTTTTAAAGGATCCTTGGTCAACATAGTTGGGAGTAAATTCTCAACCAACTCATCAATAACATCAAGAAGAATCATTCACTATCATCGTAGGGATGATAAATGGCATTGAAGACCAACAGGCCTGTGGCCTAGCGATACAAAGCTCCTACTTCCCAAAGGGAGGTCAGGGGTTCAAACCTCAGTGGAGGCAGTGTGTGTGAGTTTCCCAACTAGGAAAAAAGATAAATGGCATTGAAGATGTTTAGGTTAACTTTCATATTCCAAAAGATATATCCATGACTCTCATATTCCCAAAAGATATATCAATTGCCTCAAAAAAAATCAATGTATTCCTTTTATTTGATTCTTCATCAATTTTCTTATCATCCGAATCATAAAAACTAACCTTGTTCAATGTCCCAAATTTGATAGATTCTCCTACACAAAAACAAGAATTATTAGCAGTATCATTATCCACATGAGCAAGAAAAGCACTATCAGCATCTTTCTTATCTTTGAATTTAGAATAATCTCCTTTACTAAAATTTTTATTCTTTTTTATGTTCAAGGAGTCTTCCACATCTTTTAGATAAACGAGAAAGTTCCTCATCAGAATTTAAACCATCAAAAATAATATCCAATTCACCGTTATTCATAGGTTTTTCCATCATAAATAAAAAAAAAAAAAAAAAATCCACAAAGATCAACTCAATATGTAGAGGATGGCTCTAATACCACATGTGAGTTGTACGCAGCGAAATGGTTATGGAATATAATATGGATAAATAACCTAGAAGGGTGGTGAATAGATTCAACTTATTGTTTTATCCAATTTTTACTTATTTTGATTTTACCAAAATAAAACTAAAATCAAACCCACAAAGCAAAAATAATGTGCAAGTAAAGTAAATAAAGTTTGAGAGATGACACCAGGATTTTTAGCGATGAAACCCCAATTGGTAGAATAGAACAATTGTTGTGGAAAAAATCTCGTGAACTGTGCAATTCAGAGCAAAATGATCCACTATATTTGAAGCAAAATACACTGAACTTTGACTGAGGCTCACACCCTATCGTTCTACCAAAAACCAATCGCTGACAATCCTGACTTTACGACTCCCCCGTCCAATAGCTATCGACCTCAAGCTTACTCTTGATCTCTGTTGAAGAGTTGCAAGTAGATCAAACAATACTCCAAGAATACTTTGACCCCTTCAAGTATGATCGCTTCACCCCTTTTCTTCAAGATCTGAATTTGATAAAGAATGAATGAATTTTGTTTTTCAGAATTTCTGAATCTTCAATTATGCTCCAATTCCGATGAGATAGAGATCATCACTCCTAAATCACTCTTGTGTTTATGTGTATGCTTTCAAAAATAAGATTAGAAAAATCAGATTGATTTTTTGAATAAAAATATCTCTCAAAGATGGCTCTCAATTAGATCTGAATTTTGTATGCAAAAAGTCGTGAAATTCTAATTAAGAAAACATGTTTTTATACACTTTTGAAAACCTAATTGTACTTGGAAAATAAGTCAATTTCATGCATAACCATTATGATAAAAGTTTATGCAAAATAGGAAGCCAAAACAGACAAGGAAACAGAGTTTCCAAAAAGGTTTGAAGGACTTGAACCGGTTCAGGAATTCTTGAACCGGTTCAAATAAGCCAGAAGCTAAAAATAAAATTCAGCTTTACACTTGGACCTGCTCCAAGAAAATTAAACCAGTTTAAGTTGGTCAGAATGTAAAACTTCCCATAAGCCTAATTTTGAACTTCCAAAACTTCCTAAGTGTTCTCACACACTCACATACCTTTCTAAAGCATTGTTCTCATTATCCTAAACACTTGAACTTCTTCAAATTCGCTTCCGATCTTCAATCTTGAAAATTTTTAACCGAAATATTATAACTCGATCGGACTTGTTTTGACAACGAAATTAACCAATTACAAAATATGTATTTTTCACAGTCTTTCCAATATATATATATATATATATATCTCACAATCTCCCCCTTTGGTAATTTCATGACAAAACCCTAAAATTATTATGTAATCTACTCAAGCAGAAAAAGCAAATTACAATGATTGTAAAATAAAAAAAAATAAAAATAAAAAATAAAAAAACCAAAATTAGCATAACTCTTCTTGAACCACATGAAGCTTCATCACTTGTAGTTTTCTTCCCCTATAATTTGCACATCAACTCAACAAAACGACCCATAAAACTTACTCAATAAATAATAAACAATAAACATATATCAATATGTGAATATCAATATATATAGATGTCTCTTCCTAAATTCTATAAACTCTCCCCCTGAAATATGCACACTCTCCCCCTTTTTATTGCAAATTTAAAATAAAGCTTAACAAGGAAGAAAAATAAATAATGTGGGAGAATTAACAAAACGAGATATCAAAACTATCATCCATGCATAAGAGATAGCAATAAGCACAACAACATGATGATATATAGTAACAATGAAACAAAAGAGAAATATCCAAGATAACACTTGTTCGATCCACAAGATAAATAAGATCAGTCATGATCAAAATCACATATGATATCTCCATCCAATCAAAAATGAAAATTCCTAATAAAAACTAAAAGGAAATTCTTATTAGATTCAATTTTTCAAATTTTTGTCTTTTTTTCTGATATTTGAACAAAAATTATGAGATAGCAATTTACATGAATTTCAAACATGCATGAGAACCAAAAATTTCAGAAGAATTTAAGAAAATTTAAAAACATGAAATTTTTAGACACCACAAATTATTCAATAAAATCAATTCTCAAGCATGCAATCACGACATGAAAATTTAGAAATTCACCTAGCAAGTTCATATGTGTGTGTGTGCAATCCAACCTCATTAAATTTCAATCAAATCACATTGACCAACTAGCTAAATCATATTGATCGAAAAATATCAAGATAAAATTGTTTTAAGCAAATTTTACTAAACAAAGTGGCTTTCACTTCAAAGAGTAGACAACAAATTCCTTATTTTGACTCATCTCCTCCTTTTTTTTTCACTCAACTAGATCCTCTTCAAAGTCTAGTAGGAGCTTTCAACCTAATCTCAATAGGTAGCATTTTCCATAGTAAAGATTTTCAGCATTCTTTTTATTTTTCTTTTCTTTTCATGCTGAAATTTTTCATTTTTTTTAATTTAAAACACGTTTCTTTTTTTTTTTTAAACAATAACCTTTATAACTTTTATTAGCAATATGACATAGTTAATTTCACAACGATTTTCAACTAAATAAATAAATTGTATTTCAAAATATAGATTACACATCAAGAACATTTCCATCAAATAATCATCTGTCCCCAATTTGCATTAAAAAATAATTAATTCAAGAGAAATAATTATCACCCATGTATTGACAAGAAAAAAATAATCATCACTATCTCAAAAAAAAAAAAAAAAAAAAAAATTAAAAAAAAAAAAATTAAAAAAATTAAAAAAATTAAAAATTAAAAAAATTAAAAATTAAAAAAAAAAAAAAAAAAACCCTAAATCCAAAACTACAAGATATGGTCTAATGGAAACAAGATATTCATCAAAGCATAGTTCATAACCATAAGACCTTTTTAGGATTTACTCTGGCGGTTTTGCACCCAATGACCTACTGGAAACAAATTCCACAACATCAATAGGCACATACAACCTCAAATCCTCTTTCTTCACTCAAGCAACTTTCACCTTCAACTTTTAAAGAGATTTTTTAGGAACATAAAAACATTCTTTTTCTTATGTGAATTCCTTTTACCACGAGAATTTTTAGGTTTATTCTAATTATTTTTCTTTTTAGTATGAAACCTATTTTCTGCAAAAGAATTATAACCATGAAAATCAGAACAAAAATTATTCCTTATCTTTTTATAACAAAGTGGTGACTATGTCCAGTTCTGCCACACTAAGAATAATAAAGCACATTAGACACATTCTTAGCATGCATAGGCTCAACAAAAAGTTTAGGCTTAACAATAAGCACATTCAAGTTCATGGTTTAATAAAAACAGTTTGACCCTCTTTACTGATGAAGCCTCATTAAAACTTAATCCAGTTTTATCACTTACATGCTTACCAACACTAATTATCTTATCAAGCTTAATCCGTCCAGAAGTAAAAGCAATCAATTTTTCTTGTGACTTTTTCAATTCAAGCTCAAGAAAACTAATTAAATTTGGCAATAAAATATTCTTTAACAGAATTAGCTTGACTTACCTCACTCTCAAGAAGTTTTACTTTACCTTGAAGATTCCAAATTTCATCTTTGTTCTCCTTAAGTAATTTTTGTTTTTGCTTATTCTCCTTTTTCGAGGTATTATTCTCCTTTTTCATAAGCTCTAATTCCTCAGACTGCTTCTGACTAGCCTTTAACATTGCCTCAAAAAATTTCAATATATTTCTTTTATTTGACTCTTCATCAATTTTTTTATCATCCGAATCATAAGAACTAACCTTGCTCAATGTCCCAATTTTCGTAGATTCTCCTACAGAAAAAGAAAAATTATTAGCATTATCATTATCCACATGAGCAAGAAAAGCACTAGAAGCATCTTTCTTATTTTTCTTATCTTTGAATTTAGAAGAATCTCATTTACTAAAATTTTTATTCTTTTTATTTTTAAGGAGTCTTCCATATCTTTTAGATAAACGAGAAAGTTCCTCATCAGAGCTTAAACCATCAAAAACAATATCCAATTCACCTTTATTCATAGGATTTTCCATCATAAATTAAAATATATATATATATATATATATATTTTTCAAAAAAGACTTCCAGAAGGATCAACTCAATGTTTAAAAGATGGCTCTGATAGAACTTGTGAGTTATACGCAGCAGAATGGTTGTGGAATATAATATGGATAAATAACTTAGAAAGGTGGTAAATGGATTCAAATTGCTCTTTTATCCAATTTTTACTTATTTTGATTTTACTGAAATAAAACTAAAATCATACCCACAAAGCAAAAATAAAGTAAATAAATCTTGAGAGATGACATTAGGATTTTTAGCGAGGAAACCCCAATTGGTAGAATAGACCAATTGTTATGAGAAAAACTCAGTGGATTGTGCAGTCCAGAGTGAAACGATTCACTATGTTTGAAGTAAAGTACACCAAATTTTTACTCAGGCTCACACCCTATCATTTTACCAAAAATCAATCGCTGACAATCTCTGGCTTTGTGACTCCCCTGTCCAACAGCTCTCGACTTCATGCTTACTTTTGATCTCTATAGAAGAGTTGCAAGTAGATCAAACAATAATCCACGAATGCTTTGACCCTTTCAAAGTGTGATCGCTTCACCCATTTTCTTTAAGATCTAAAGTTGATGAAGAATGAATCAATTTTGCTTTTCCAAATTTTTGAATCTTCACTTATGCTCCAATTCCGATAAGATAGAGATCAACACTCCAAAATCACTCTTGTGTTTATGTGTGTGCTCTCAAAAATAAAATCAGAAAAATCAAATTGATTTTCTGAATAAAAATATCTCTCAAAGATGGCTCTTAATTAAATCTGAATTTTATATGCAAAAAGCCGTGAAATCCTAATTGAGAAAACGTATTTTTATAGACTTTTGAAAACCTAATTATACTTGGAACACAAGTCAATTTTATATATAACCATTATGGTAAAAGTCTATACAAAGTAGGAAGCGAAAACAGACAAGGAAACAGAGTTCCCAAAATAGTTTGAAAGACTTGAACCGATTCAAGAATTCTTGAACCGGTTCAATTAGGTCAAAAGCTAAAAATAAAATTCAGTTTTATTCTTGAACTTGCTCCACAACTTGAACCAGTTCAAGTTGGGCAAAATGTAATACTTCCCAAAACCTTAATTTTGTACCTCCAAAACTTCCCAAGTGTTCTTACACACTCACATACCTTTCTAAAGAATTGTTCTCATCATCCGGAAGTGTATTAAAGTATGAACACTTGAACTTCTTCAAATTTACTTCTGATCTTCAATCTTGAAATTTTTGAACTAAAATATTTTAGCTCGATCAAACTTGTTTTGACAACGAAATTAGCCAATTACAAAATATATATTTTTTACAATCTCCCCAATATATATATATATATATATATATATATATATATATATATATATATATATATATATATCTCACAAAAAGTTCATGCATTTCCTTTTTTTTTTTCTCATTTGTATTAATGTATTAGATATTGTACAATGTATATGTAAATAAAATAATAATGTGTTGTGGTAAGGACTATAATAATAATGAACTTAAATTTCTATATCGCACAATGTTTGAGCTTTTAAAAGTGTATGGTTAAATGTGTCTAAGTTGAAAATTTTATTTGTTTTAATGGAACACATGCTAAAAAAATTTTTTAAACTCTTTATTTTGGAACCAATATACGAGTGTTTTGGAAAAAAATATATATATGGGGGCCACTGCATGTTGATTTATATGTTAGTATATTTATATTGTACAAGAAAATATACAAATTGTAATATTTATACAGTCGCCATTAATTCTTGTTCGTGTTGTTTCTGTAGAACATCTTATATATATAAGCATTGTTGTATATTTATTGGACATAAAAAGCTAAAATGCAGTGGTCATCATACGATATACACCTGACCAAACACACAAATCCTACATTCATGAAAGCCTGTCACAAAGCAGAGCATGCCAGCTTTTCCCACCTCATTAGTGTTACTCGTTTCCTATGATACTATTTATATAGAAAAAAGAATGCACCAAACTGTTGCTCACTGTTATTTATGAAAATTCTATTTTTACTTTCAATCTACTAAAACTAATCTGTACTAATTAGTTATACTGAAACTGATCTGTCAAATTGCTAACACCCAACATCTCCATTCCACCTCTAACATCTCTATGCCTCTTAACAATTTCAGTTGATGTGTTAGGAGTTTTGTTTTAGTGACAAAAATAGCATGGTTTCTTTTTGTTTTTTGTTTTTTTTTTTGAAGTTTTTTGTTTTTGGTTCCAATCTTCTGTAAGAACAGCATATTCTTATCTATATATATATCCCCACATTCTCTTATCATTCTCAATATTCAAATACATCTTTCTTGTAAACCGAATTTCAGTAGTACGTACTACAATCATTGTAAGCATTTTTGGGACCCCTTGTTTCAAGTTTACATCTTTTACATGAGGCCCAGTCATGGCCTAAAGCCAATTTCTGTTTACACTTCTCTTTTCATATTGTTTTTGCTTTTTACTGATTTCATTACATAGTAACAATTGCAATCAATATCAGGCAATTAATCATTCAGTTTCTTATATACCCCGAATAATTACTTTTTAATTTTAGCATAAAATTTTATTAATTTTCCAATATAATTAAAATCTCATTTGAGTAGGAAAGTTGAAAAGACGAGAACTTGATTTGTAGTGAAATCTGATGCATGTGTACTGAAGTGGGATGATCATCTTCCATAATCACTTGAAGTAGTAATAATATATCACAAAGATATGAATAAATGACAAGAGAAATTGCAAAACTTAATTGCTTCATGTATTTTAACTTTATACTCTTACAGTTTTACAGTTGATTCTTTAGAATTACTAATTGTAACTTTGTTTTTGCTTGTATTTTAGGTCTACATTTCGCCAGTGTGTTTGGCCATTTCTAGTAATTTTTTGTACATCATGGTGAGAACTAGCTTCTTGTTTATTTTTCAATTTAAATAATTAGTTTATTTTGCGTTGGTAACTCAAAGATTCATAACAATTCATACTTTTCCGGATACATCCATATATATGTTTTGCAAAATCCATATGATATAGATAAACTTGAAAACTATGCATTAAACTAATTAACCGGCCTTTCCTATTTCTCATGTTTTGCAGGATATCTTTGCTTTTATATTTTTTCTCGGCATAGTTTCGTCCAAGATTGCTTCCTCAAACGCCAATGGAAATGCAGGCACTTTTAATGTCTTAGAGTATGGAGCAATCGGGGATGGCTATAAAGACGATACTCAAGTAAATTTATTTATTTTCATTGTGAGTTTTAGTTCATTTTTTACCTTAAGAAAACTAAATAATTTATACTCCATTTCAGGCATTTCTCAAGGCGTGGAATGCCGCATGTAGCACAACAAATGGAACTCCCAAGTTAGTCGTTCCTAAAAAGAAGACATTTTTGTTAATTCCAGCGATGTTTAGCGGTCCATGCAAGGCTAAGAAAATTGATTTTATGGTAAGGAAAAAATAAATAAAATTATAATCATAATTTAATAGTAATAAAAAAGACATGCTTCAACATCAAATAAGTATGGGTTTTTCTCAAAATTATATCATAATATAATCTTCTTCTTCTTTCCCTTTACCCAAATACTATGTAGATTTCGGGAAAAATTGTGGCACCATCCTCACCATCTGTATGGAAGGGGCGTGATGCGAGTCAATGGCTAGGATTCAGTGGTGTAAGTGGCCTCAATGTCTATGGTTCAGGCACGATTGATGGACAGGGCAAAGGTTGGTGGGATCAATCTTGCAGATATCATCCTGACTTGGTACGTAGATTTTGATAAACATGATAAACATAATTCTATTAGAAATGCTTCTACTTTGGCATCCCTAACTTAATTTTCACATGCTCCAATTTTGCAGCAAGGATGCACTAAACTGGCACCAACTGTAAGTATAAAATGGCCATGAGAAAAAGGGATTGTGTAAAACAGGAAATAGCTTTAAGGTAATGAAGGGTCCTATAAAACTGTCAAAATGAATTAATGGGAGGTAGCATAAAGCTTTTCGCATGCTATGGAAGTGATAAGGTCATATATGTGACTGTACATCTTACGAAAATGAAAATAAATAAATTAATCTGCCACGTCTCTATATGCAATGGAAGCCATCATAAAATACAACTTATGGGATGACTCTCTCTCTCTCTTTTTTTCTTTTTTTTATATGATTATTAATAAAATTAATGTCATTTTGGGTAGGGCTTGTTTTTATATCATTATTAATGAAATTTTTTCATTTTGCATAGACCTTAAAGTTTCTTTCGGCCAACGACATCAGCCTCAGCAACATTGATTTCACTAACAGTCCACAAACTCATGTCCTCGTAATGGGATGCAATAGGATGAGCGTTCAAAATGTGATGATCCAATCTCCTGGAGATAGTCCTAACACTGATGGCATTCACATCCATGCCTCTCATAACATAAGTGTCATTCAGTCCAAAATAGAAAGTGGTATAATTAAAGCCATATATTATCTCTTTCTACTATACATATTTTGGCCTTTAAGTTCCCATCAATTATTCATATATATGATACAAACTGACTGATTAATTGGTTTTGTTCCACTAGGAGATGATTGTATTTCTATTGGAGATTACATTTCTAACCTATACATATCCAATATTGAATGTGGACCTGGTCATGGAATAAGGTAGATTACTTCTCTTTCCTTTCCTGAACTACTTAATTTATATGTAATTACACAAACATGGCAGTCATAAAACATTACTTTGGTGATATGCATGGCCACATGTGTGTGTGTGTGTGTGTGTGTTCATTCAAGTGAAACATCTTTTGCCTTTCTTGCATGAAACAGCATTGGAAGCTTAGGTTTGGGAGGTAATTTTGTACAAGTAGAGAACATTCATGTGAAAAATGTCTCCTTGAAGGGAACTACCAATGGAGCTCGGATCAAAACATATCAGGTATATATATAAAATAACACGATTCATATATATAGCCAAATTTACTTCAACCATCATCCATACATATTTTCATTTTCACTAGCATATACTTCGCTCTTCATTGTGTCACTTCTTACTCATTGTCTATGCATAAATAGGTTGGAAAAGGATACGTCCGAAATGTCACATTTGAGGACATTAAATTTGATTCCGTGGATAACCCAATAATCATTGATCAGAATTACTGCGGAGTTAGGGGTACATGCAAAGAATTGGTAATACCCTATAAAAGAAAATTAGAAAATTTCATCAATTTTCATTTGTTACATGTATGAAACAAAAAGTACTGATCATTCAATTTTCTTGCATTCTTTGTTCAAGCCAACTGGAGTTCACATAAGCGACGTGACCTACAAGGGCTTGTATGGAACATCGACCACCGAAGTAGCTATCAATCTCAACTGCAGCCGATCAGTGTCGTGCACTGGCATATCATTGGAGTCCATAAAACTTACCTCTGCCAAAGCTGGAAAGCAAGCCACTGCGAATTGTGCTAATGCTCGTGGCAAAGAAACAGGAGTGCTACCTGGCCTGTGTCTGAGAAACTGAGTTCATTTATGAAAATGGTTCTGCAAGTTCATATATATATATCCCTATTATTTTCTAGGTGTTGTGAGATTGAATGATATTTTTTTGTACCTGAGCTTATGTAAGGAATTATTGTATGTACCAATTAAAAATCTTGATTGAGTTATAACTTATATGTAATACAAGTAAATAAAATTTCTCTCTACGATGATATGACTCAATGTATCCCAACATTTTAGATGCTTGAAATAAATGAATCCCAACGTTTTACATGCTTTTTCCATTCTTTAACATAGCACATTTAATTTTTTGCATGAAAACTGAATCATCTTTAGTATTTTTTTTTCACTTTAAACATCACTGGCACTTTATATAATTTCGTTTTCATTGTAGACATCCATTAATCAGCTTGAACTAAAAGGATGTACAATGACAATTAAGAAAATGGATTCAAGTTGCTGCAGGTTGATTTATTTGTTATAACAATGTAATTGTTCGTGTTTTTTCTGTAAATCATATCATGTAATATAAGCCTAGTTATATATATATATTTATTGGACATAAAATGCTAAGATGAATACATCCTCCACAAATCAGATGGGATATATATATGATTCTGTCTCTAGTCTCACCGTGGCATATGGAGAAAGCTGAATCTTCTACTTTCGACAATAAGTATTTTTTTTTTTCTCTACCCATAATTGTAGCATTTTTCTGAGTATTTATTTTTCAAAAAATAATATATGAACTTTTCAATTCAGACAATTATTTTGGAAAAACTAAAAATGAAAAGGTCAGAAAAATTTGTCGAACGGAGGTTCGAGGGAGTACATTCACTGAATGAAAATACACCATTATAAATTGTTAAAAAAAAAAAAATTAAAAAAAAAATTATACATTGATGGAACCAATTTTACTAAATAAAATATTCTTATTGAGTGAGTAGAAGAATGAGGTCATATGCTGAGATCAGCCAAGACTATCCAATATTTTGAAAATGAGATGTTTAATATTTTGTATTTAATATGCTGGGACGCGCATACATAATACGTACAATTTGAATGTACCGGATACAATATCCATGCTCGAGACACACCCAAGGTAGTCGGTTGTGAGACTGGATAATATAGCGTTGCTCGTCAACATCTACTTCACCTTCGATTTAAATGTCCACGCGCTTTCAAAGTCAAAGTAGGTGGGCGTCAATAGAGCACGACACAAATTGGGTGGCCTATTTTCACAGACAGCTTTCATAAAAGAAACTACTCCGGTGGACATAAGATAGATCTACATGCAGCAGCACTCTAGATATAGAGAGAGATGGCAAAGAAGATGACCGTTATAGCTATGGTTCTGTTTCTAGTCTCATCGTGGCATATGGAGATAGCTGTCTCTTATACTTTTTTCATCGGTAAGTAATTTTTTCTCAACCCATGAATTAACACATTTTGTTCCGAGTATTTATTTTTCTTCTCAAAGTTTAAATCTTCTAAAAGAACTTCATAATTATTTAGACAAAATGTCTTCATCGAACAAGACCATCACTTTGAAGAGCTCAGATGGCGAGGTCTTCGAAGTGGACGCGGCTGTGGCTGTTAAATCACTTACCATCAAGAGCATGATCGAAGGCGCGGCATCGGATGATGGGGTCTTCCCTCTGAACGTGACCGGCAAAATCTTGGCCAAAGTGATCGTGTACTGCGAGAAGCACGTCGAGGGCGCTCCCATGACTGAGGAGCTCAGGAGCTGGGACACCGAGTTCGTGAATGTGGATGGTCGCACTGTCTTTGATATCTTTCTGGCGGCAAACTATCTGAACATAACGAGTCTGCTGAACCTAACATTCCGTACAAATGGTGGGTTGATAAAAGGAAAGACGAGATCCGCATAACATTCAACATTCATAAAGACTGCACCACTGAGGGAGAGGAAGAGGTTCACCGGGATAATCAGTGGGCGTTGACTGATCGTAAATACAAAAGCAGGGATGCAGCTAGACATACTAAGTGGTCCAAAGTAACATTTTGTATATACACATATAAAAATATTATAATATTTTATTTTTCTTAAGAAAATGTAACTTTTAATAAGGAAAAATTACATATAAATGGAGTCAAAGTTCCATATTTACTTAGAGACTGAATCAAAGTTCCATATTTCTCTAAAATGGATTGCTGAGGTGGCACATGGTTTTTTACCGTTTAAAAAATTGTGGTGCCTAAAATGCCCTTCCCTAACAAAAAAGTAGTACATTCAGTTCAAAAAAGTAGTACCTTCAGTTCAAAAAAGTAGTACCTTCGGAGAAAAAGTAGTACCTTCGCGGTGTTTAAAAAACATGGTACCTGGACGCCAAAAAGTAGTACCTTCAGTTCAAAAAAGTAGTACCTTCGAAGAAAAAGTAGTACCTTCGCGGAAGGGTATTTTAGGCACCATAATTTCTAAACAGTAAAAAACCATGTGCCACCTCAGCAATCCATTTTAGAGAAATATGGAACTTTGACTCAGCCTCTAAGTAAATATGGAACTTTAACTCCATTTATATGTAATTTTTCCTTTTAATAATATATATTATTAGGAGCATGTACGAAGACATCTCCATTGAATCTCATATATCTTTTTATTTAATTTAATTTATATTAAGGGATGCAGCTAAGCATACTAAGTGGTCCAAAGTAACATTTTGTATATAAAAATATGAGTAATACTTGCATCTACGCGGGAAGGATGGATTTCATTCTCTCTGTTGACGTGGCCACACATGTTTAAAATAAAAAATAATAAAATACGGACAATGCTCATTTATTTGGGTTAAACCCGTTTGTCAGTCTCTTCTCTCTCTCTCTCAATTCATAATATCTTCTCTCTCAGGATATGTTTGGATGGGTTGATTTAGAGAGATAGGGAGAGAAAAGAAAATAAAGGATAGGACGTGAGTGTGTTTAGGTGGGTTAAGTGGAGAGAAAAGAAAGGATAGTGAGAGATATCTCCCCCTATCCCTTATTTGGTTTCTCTCCCATTTTGAAAAGATAGGAAAAGAAAGCATCGTGAAGTAAGTGGTATTTTGATAATACCAAAAATAACCTCCACAAATCAATATACAAAAAAATTATTCCATTCAAGTCCTAATTAAAAAAAAAAACTAGAACTGTGATTTATGCAATCATCCATTATTGGAGTGCTGTCACTGCTCTGTTTAAGTTACCTGCTGCTATTATACATGCTATTGAAAAATTAATCAAAAATTTCTTTCGTGGCCACTATATAAAATCCAAAAAAACTCCATTCGTTGTAGTGGAATAGAATAGCTTGTCCAAAGGCTGAGGGGGTTTTTAGTATTAGGAGGGTGGTTGAGATTAGAAATGTTATCCAAAATGGCAAATGGTGTAAACCAAGGTTTAAGGATGAAGAAATAATTTGATATTTGGAATTTAGTTGTTAATATTCTTATTAGACAATGTTTAGATTTGATCAACTACAAGCATGGGAATGCATCTTCCAAGTCTTTCTGGAAGTGTTATAGAAATGAAGCTCCTAGAAAATATTGGGTTAAGTTAATTTGAAAGGGTATGACAGTGATTTGATCACTATCCTTTCTTTTCTTTTCTCTCTTCTATCTTATCCAAACAAAAATAACTATCATTTCTTTTCTTTTCTCCCCTATCTATCCAAACATTAATAGAAATTATTACTATCATTCTTTTCTTTTCTTTTCTCTCCTAACTAATACTTTCATTTCTTTTCTTTTCTCCCCTATGTATCCAAACACACCCTCAGTGTCTATATACTGCCTCAAACCCATTTCCACTTTCCTCTCCATCACCACCACCAGTACCATCCACACCACCACTTTCCACCCATAACAGAGAGCATGGTCTTTGTATAAGTTGTGAGTCAACACATTTTGGTGTGAGTTTTACACAGAATCAATATGGAGATAACTTGAAAGCAGAACAAAAATCAATATACAAAGAGCTCAAAAGCCATCATCAACGTCAAAACTGAAGGGTAATTTACACAGACCTCCCCTATGGTTTGTCATAATTATAGGCGGCACCCTTCCTGTTCTGGAAATTACGCGGACCTCCCCTACTTTTGAAAATATCCTACACGGACCTCCCTTATGTGTAAGGGACAATTAAATACACTAACGGACCTGCCAAAATTACTGAAATACCCTCAACTTTCAATGATAAATGACTTAAATACCCTAATGTGTGTGTATGTGTATATATACATATATATATTAATGAATTTCCAATTTCATAGGCAACAAAGAGCACAATAGGTCCGATATAAAGATTCATGAAAAACCCACATAAAAGATTCAATTTTTTTTACAAATTCCTCAATAACGCATATAAAGATTCAATTTTTTCCTTTGATAGAGAACTCAGAAATGTTGATGCAAGTGAATTGAATACAAATTTCTCAAAAACCCATATAAAGATTCAATTTTTTTCTTTGATAGAGAACTCAGAATTGTTGATACAAGTGAATTGAATGGATTCAAAAGCTCTATTGCAACAACAATGTCTTAATGATGCATTTAAAAGGAGACTAGATTGATGGAAAAATCAAAACTTTCCTAAAGAAGAGGTGTGAAATGATTAGTAGAAGGCAAAGAATAAAGACACTGACTGAGGATCAAGCAACCCTCCACATGTGGTGAATAACAATCGAATTACCTACTTTAAGAAGTGGGTATATTGTATATGATCACTAAATGTGTATATATATATATATACATATATAATTGTGTGTGTGTGTGTGTGTGTGTGTGTGTGTGTGTGAAAAATTGGATAATGGGTAAGGGGATCAGAGAAAACGGGAATTATTGCTAAGATGAGTCCAACAGTGGCCACGACCGAACAAGACCAAATAGAAGGGTATGCAGGATTAATATTGGTAGCCCCACTCACATGTTCTGTGTATTACAAGCCTTGGGCCCTATTGGTGGTCTAATTTGATTGGATCGTGTATTACAAGGAGAGTGGAATTAGCTTATGCATATATGATTTCAG